TCTTCCTGATTAGCAGGGAGTTTTTCCTCTCCACTGTTTGCTCAGGATGGGAGACTGTGATGAAGTGATTCAACGCAGCCTGCTGGTTTCTTCTTTAGATTRTTSTTTTTCAGTACAGTGCCCTGAGACAACACATGTTGTGACTTGGTGCTATATAAATAAAYTGAATTGAATTGAATTGAATTGAATTGAGTTTATATCTTCTCCCTGCACATGTCAGGGTTTACTCCGGGTGCTCCAGTTCTTGACTTTGCACCGGTCCATAAAACATGAGTACTGGTTTAATTGGTCTTTGTAAAGTGATCTCAGAAATGGGTTTGGGCAAAATTGTATTGTGTGCAATTATTCATCAGAAATACTGTCATTACTTAATATTTGCCACTTTGCAAATACTTCCCACACACATCACTCCCAAAAAAAGTAAAAAACAAAAAGTTAAACAAAACAAAACAACAAAWCAACTATAGCGGGGAAATCCAAAGCCTACATGTCTGCAATGCACATGTAGGCRATCACTGCCTGATGAGACCCACAGAGGAGTCGAAATAGTTGTTAAAATGTTTTACTGCACAGAATTACTTTTCTCTACTTTAACTTAATAACAAGTTGAATAAAAATTAGATTGATGTTCACTGATGTCATTTAGTTTATTTCAGTCATTTGAATAGTGTTTGGTTGTATGGAGGCAGGAATGATGTAGACTACATTAGTTAAAAAGAGACATGATAGTTCAGAATGTACCTTCAGTCTCATTTGATATTCACATTAGTAGCATTATTTAACTGTGATTTAAAGATATAATATTTAAGAAATCATGCAGTTTTAACACAGAAGACATTAAATGAAAAACATAAGTAACAACATAGCTGTTATATTTCTCTTAACATCTGTAAAATCAGCAGAGTTTCTGACAGATGTCATTCAGAAAAGACAAACTGTTCCACTGCCTGCACTACAATTATTATCCACTAGAGTGCAGAATACACATTTCACATCAAATACAACAGGTTCATTAAGAAAGTATTCAGACACTGATGAAACAGAGGTCGCAAAACTTACGTAGCAACTATGGTAAAAATGGTGATAGACGTTCAATTGTATGTTAAGCAGTTGCATTTAAAATGTACAATTAATACTTGTTAAACCCAACTTAATCAAATGTTACAACAGATGGTCATAAGTTAGACAAGATACAGTTACAGTTTGGTCAACAAGCAGAATTTCCTTGTCATCATTCTGAAGGAGCTCTATTGGTAAATTACTCTGTAGCAGTGGTTCCCAAACTTTTTATCTTCTGACCCACAAAATATTCATCGTGAAAACTTGTGACCCCAAATATTACTGGTCTGAGTACATGAACTTTGTTAATAACCCTAAAAACACAGGCTTTTTGACAATCTAAACAGCTTGTACAC